TACCAACTAGATTCACTTTCTGATCGAACGAGGTACTGAAGTCAAAAATCGAAGCATTTTTACTGCCCCAAAACGTGATGACAGACAGAAAATAAAAAAAAACACTTCATGGTAAAATCAATACATTCATTCGCTCCGCTCAGAATCTAAAAAACTAACCAAGTAATTAACTGAAACCTCTATGCCAACTCTCTACTGTATTGCTAGTAAGGCAATAAAGTACTTGCCGATTCTTAACAATTCCATAAACTAATTGAATACTTTGGTAATCTACGACACTTTCTTTGATCCATTGGGCGGCCTATCCAGGTATCTTCAAATTTGTCAACAAGTGGTTGTAAAATGTTTTCGTTATCTGTGTAATATTGTGAATCTATTAATTCTTCAAACGCATCTATCACATAATTTTCTGGTACATATGCTAATGCTAATAAGAGCCGTATTTGTAATGAAAATGTCGAATCTAACCTAACCAATAGTTAATTTTTTCCATTAATTCTAGATTTTCTTTAGTAAAAAATATTTAAATACGTTCATCTGATGGGCCGCTATCGAACTGCATAAATTGCCTTCCATCCTTAGTTAAAGTATACCTTTCAGGTATTTAAAGGTTAAAAAGTGACTTAGGATTCGGTGGTGCGCAACCATTACGTTGGCGTACTCTTCTTAACGTGTGTTTTAAATTAGATATTTCGGGTAATGCACTTGATATCACTGAATTTAATTATGATGAAGCGATTATTTGTTGAAGGTTATCTTGTGACGATAGCGCTTGGGATTTCATCTCTCAACTTCTTTTTTTACTTCTAATTTGCAGATATCTGGAACGTGGTTATGCTCTGAAGGCTCTTTTTTAATTTTATTATCACTAGCAGTTGTAAATCGACCTTTACATTGCATATCTATACATTTCCAATACTTCGATTCCTTGTACATTTTTTCCTTTCTATAAGTATAACTATTATACACGCGTAAAAGTTTATTTTTATTAGATTTTATAAATTCCATACCTAGCTAAAAAATCGAATTTAAAAAAGCTACCCACTTTTCGTGGATGTCACTCTACTGTACAGTACAGAACAAAGCTAACAAATTTAAATATTTGATATTAAATTTGTAGTATTAAAAAAGCGGGTAAGTCGTGGATGTCGCTCTGCTGTAAAGTAGGTTGCAAGTGGGTTACTGTAATGGATGGAATTTAATTTGAATCCAATGACACAATATCATTGTAGATATACGAAAAACGAATCTGAGCGGAAGCGATTTATCTGTCTAGGATATATTATAGATTATTATGAATTTTCTAGTTAAAAATAATTTGCGAATTTTCGTGATTTTTATGTATGTTGTCAAAATTAAAATTTGAATACTTGTAAAAAAAAATTATGCGTATGCAATATATACATCCCTGACAGTACCAACTTCAGCCTCCATGACCTTATCCACATTATCTCCCAACTACCAAAACCCTTCGTATTAATTGGTGACTTTAACAGTCGGAATACACTATAGGGCTCCTCCTATACGGACAGTAGAGGAAAAACAATAGAGAAACTGCTTGAAGAACCGAACATAATACTCTTAAACAATGGTAGCCCTACCAGACATAACGCAGCTAACGGAAAACTATCAGCAATCGACCTATATTGAGCAAGCTCAAAYATTGCCCCAAGTATCGAATGGAAGACCCTACCAACCTATAATGGAAGCGACCACTGGCCAATACAGTTACAACTTTTTCACCAATCTTCTAAAACAGATTCTATAAATAAATGGAAACTCAAATCACCAAACTGGGAACTATTCTCCTGCCTTGTTGACCAGTACATCACAGAAAACCAGTTAGAAGTTCCCATTGAACATATGCTACCCATAAACCAAATCCACATTGATGAACTGATTAACAAATTATCAACGCTAATAATAAAGGCAGCTAATATAGCGATTGGAAAATCTAGTCGCCCTCTTAACAAAAGAACAGTACCATGGTGGAAAGAAGATTGTAAAAACGCAATCACAAAATATAAAAAAGCTCTCAACCGCTTAAAAAAAACCCACTTACAAACAGACCATATACTAGTTAAAAAATACAAAGCTGAATCCAGATACATCACAAAAAAAAGTAAACTAGAATGCTGACAGAAATATATATCTATAATCAATATCAGAACCCACCCATCAGCAATCTGGAACAAAATTCGTGCACTCAAAGGATGTAAACACCAACCTCTTCCTAACCATATGCACCACAACCAAACTGAACTATATTCAACCTCCGAAATTGCCCATGCCTTTGCTGAGGTATTTCAATCAAACAACAGCAATGCAAATTATGAGGAGAATTTCTTAATTTTCAAGAATGAAACTGAAAATAACATCACAATTAACCCCTATCTTCAACCCGACAACGCGGAATATAATCACCCATTCAATATAAAAGAACTCTACCTCGCACTTCACAACTGTAATAGCAAAAGTCCCGGAACCGACAATATTCCTTTCATCTTCTTGAAAAACTTATCGGATAATGCTATCAACACTCTCCTCGCAATTTACAATTTAATCTGGAACAATGGAATTTTCTCTAATCAATGGAGACAGGCACTCGTAAGTCGTAATCCCATACTAAAACCAGACAATGATAAATTTAATATTCTTAGCTACCGTCCAATTTCGCTTATCAGTACCCTAAGCAAATTACTTGAAAAAATGATAAGCAAAAGCTTAGTGTGATTTCTCGAAACGAACAAAAAATTCACATAACAACAATGCGGCTTCCGCAAAAATTATTCAACCCATGATGTCTTAGCTACACTCCACACAGGTATAACTGAATCAATAATTAAAACCTAACCTAACCAATATTTCGCTTACTCTACAAGCCACTCCTCAAAACGTTTTAGGCTGGGGCCACACGGACGCACTACGTACGCGCGTTGCGACGGACGTACTATTTAACGCGCGCACTAGAGCGGGCACACGAGCGTCAATATGACGTCCGTTAAAAATGTGTTATCATTGATTTTGTATCTTATCTAGTATTTACTTGTTTGTAAAGTTGTAAAGACGTATTGCGTACTGTTTTCACAAAGTTTTTTTTTTAAATATGGACTCAGACGAAGTTTTTTCCTTTAGTTCTTTAACCTATTTATACCTAAAACAAAAACGGACTAAAARGGAACATTGGGTTCATCCAATAAATTGTGAACGATATACAAATGGGCATTACGTGAAGTTGTACTATAAACTTCGAGAAGATTCGTCAACATTTTTTAACTACTTCCGAATGTCTGTAAGATCATTCGATGAACTTTTACTGTGCATAAAAAATGATATTCAGCTACAAAATACCAATATGCGATTAGCTATACAGCCCGAAGAAATGTTGGTGATAACTTTGAGGTATGTAGGTATTTTTGTAATAAAATTTACTCTTAAAAAAATAAGTTATTATTCCAGTATTTTATTTATTTTTWTTAAATTACTTTATTAGTCAATGTATATTGTTAGGAAGTATTTAAAAATAGATAATACAATTAATTATTTGCTAATGACTGACAATAAAAGTAAACTTGATATATGTATTTATAATAAATAGGTATATTATAATATATTACTTTTTTAATAATATTGCATAAAAAAATATATTTATGAACTGGGATTTAAATAACTAACATTTTCCATAGTATATTCGTTTGACAACTCATCACTGGAGAATTGAGTGTAATAAGACAAAGCAGATKAAGATGATGGTGGACGGAAATTTGTGGGTGTTCTATTGAAAGTTGCAGATGAAGTATTATAAAATTGACTATGTTCTGAAGTTCTTAAGTTTTGTTTGAAATTGAAGCATTATTTCAACTAGTTATGCTGTACACAGACACACAAAAAAAAAAAACACACATTGTAAAATCAATACATTCATCACTCCGAACTTCTGAATCATACGTTCAGAATCTAAAATTAGAAAACACCTATACTTAATAATATCCAATAAACATAGATATAGGTACAAATTAAAACTCCAGTTTTATTTTRTTATATTATATAGGTATAGGTAGGTATCTTAAATAAACTATGATCGCTTACAATAGGTAATCCTGATAATTATTCATTCAAATTTGTATACGACTATTTGGTCTTGTTTGTTATAATTATAATTCCAGTGRTATGTGGGTTATTTTGAAGAAGAAAACACCTATTCTGTCATTCCTAATAATTGGATTAGTCGTCAAGAMAAAAAAGTATATTGTAAATGGCCTAGGAAGCAAAAAGTTACACCAGCCTTGCTAAATAATGCCATAGAACCCTCAAGTAACTGGTCTTTGTATCCAGTACATTTAGTTGACAGCTTATGTTTTGGTATGTATGTATACATAATGAAGTTTAAATAAAATGAAAACAATAATTTAAGTCCTATATTGGAGTAAATTAGTATTTGGTAGAATATTTTTTTGTGATAAAATACCCTAGAGCAGCTATTTGTTTTTAATGAATATGATATTAAACTTATTTAACAATTGRCATTTTACATTGTTTCTATTTTTCTATTACAATACATATTAATATGTCGTATATTAGTTGAATTGTTCTTCTTTTAATAATACAGAAATCTCATATTATATTCTACTTCATAAAATGACAAAATGTATTCATATCATAAAAATTATGTTAGGTAGGTACATTTTTCTGTACTTATACAAATTATTTTTTTTTTCAAAAATTTCACAGTTTTTTGTCAAGTGAATGGCTCTTTTTATATACTTATTATGCAATTATTTTAAGTATTTTATCCATATAGTTATTATAGTATCATATTATTATATTTATTATATTTATTATATTTATTATTATATTTAATATTTATATTTTAAAACCCCTATGGTTAAAAGATAAGATGTTTGTTTAAAAAAATGTATGTAGTTTTTGTTGCTACCATAGATCAGAATACCTAATGGCTATTATAATTGGTAATAGTATAATACAACATACATATAAGCACAATTAATAAAACATTCAATTATATGTAGATAACTATGATAAAGCTGCTAAAAGAGAAAGAGAGATATTCCTGTCAGCTTCTGAATCAGATCGAAATTGTAAAAAAAGCTAAGCCTAATGATTTTACTTCTAGAAAAAAACTTTTTGGAAATTTTGATAATACCAATCATAGTGGTAAGTATTATTTATTAATACACATTAAATTCAAATAGTATTTATAAGTTATAAGTTAAAATTCTTAAAATAAAATATGAATTATTATCCTAAATTATAGTAAATAATAAATATATATTTTGTTATTTATATAACTTTTAATAAATAAATAYAGAGTAACACGCTAACACAATACACAATTAATAGAGTAGATAATATAAAATTATAATCGACACATTTAAAATGAAACAAAGAATAAAATATATACATATTTTATACACATTTTTATTTGTTTGTTTCATTTTAAATGTGTCGATTATAATTTCATATTGTCTACTCTATTAATTGTGTATTGTGTTAGCGTGTTACTCTATATTATATTATATTATTATTGTATATATATATATTCAATAATTGTTGTTAATTACATTAAAAACAATCATATTTTTAAATAATTAGGTAATAGGTAATAATCTTATGTTTATGTTCAATACATATTTATAAGTTTTAATACTTAACTGTTTTCCATCCAAAGTTGGATTATTGCAATAAATATATAAGTTTAATAATATGTAGTTATTGAGGGTTAAAAGTTYGAATTTTTAGCAGCAACATTACTAATATTTCTTATAGTTTATTTACAATTCAACAAACATAATATTTCATATTAATTGTAGACAGCAGTGATGATGATCAACCTCTAGTGGTAATCAAAAAAAAATAATGATAAAACAAAAAGTCTAGTGTTAAATGCTATGACTTGTATTCAAGGAGAGTCTTGTTCTTATAGAGTTGAACCAAATTCATTGGATTCCATGTCTTCTAGTAATTATATATTTATTCTTAAATACCTATTCATATAATACCTAGTTTAGGGATAAACTATAAATTCTAATAATAAATATTAAATATCCAAAATTTCTATGCATTTTTAAATAAAATTATTTTTTATACTTACAGTTATCACTCTGTTTTTTTACCTATACTGTACTAGACTTTAGCATAGTGCATTATAGTTTATAGAAAATATTTGATATTGTTGGGTATACTTTAGCAGTGTGTGATATTATTTTTACCTTAACCAATTTTATTTTTATTTGTAGTCACAAATCATKATAAATATTCTAAAACAATATTGGAAAAGTCATGTGAAGAAAAAACTTTAGCTTCTACCTCAACATGCAGCAATCAAGAAAATATATTGTACAATATTGATCAAAGTTCAAACACATCACCGGAACCTCCTGGACAAATGTCTAGCAACACTTATATGTTATGTAAGTAATATCATTAAACAATTCTTTATACCACCATGTAACAATTAAAATTTAATAGATTAATTAATCCATTTTATAACTATAAAATGTATATTTAATGTGCCTATTTAAAATTTGTTTAGCTGCAATGAACACATTACTAAACATACCAAATGATCAACATTTAAACGATTATGAGTCTGTATCTCCTATGTGTTCTGAAAACACAAACATAATACAGAGTTCACAGTTTTCAACACCGCGTCCAATATTATCTGCCTCAGCTATTCTCAATAATAATTCTAACAATTTTGCTATAAATTGTGGTTAGTATTGTAGGTAGTTATGTTTTAACTTTAAGATTTTTTTGTAAATAATAAGTCACATTTAAAAGGTGACAGTTTAAAACCACTTAACTACTGCAAATAACATTGATGCATTTATGTATTTTATTTATAAATTATGCTTTGCTAAAACTAAAAACTGTTAATTTAAATTAAAAAGTATATATATTGAATATATTACTTTTATTATTGTATTTAGTATAATATAATATAATGTAATATAATAACTTTTTAAATACTAATATTTTATCTACTTAAGATGCTATTCAGTCAAATATATTGAATCTTATATACGAATAAGGTATTGAAACTAATGCATATTTAAAACGGATTGATGGAAGAATTGATAGCCTAGAACAAATCATAAAAAATATGTCTGGTACCCCAAATATTAATAACCCTATTGATAGTACATTTTTAGCCATGTTTCCATTAAAAAATATTGATTCACTTAAAGATTTTGACACTCGTATTAAAAATGATCAAGATTTTAAACTCAACGTGTTAAGAATATTTAATTTTTAAATTTTTTTTTTTTTGACCAATTTGTTTCAAATGATGTATGTTATCCTTTATGTTTGTTTCTGTTACATTACAAATCGCTAGGACCCGGAGTTGTATGCATTTGCATACTTTTATTTATTAAATTAAAAATTAGCTAGATAAAAGTGATAATAAGACTCACATTTGAATCTTAACCTAATATGATGCYATTTTTGCAGATTTGGAACATTTTTAATTTTTATGCATATTTTACCATTTTTCTTAAATATAATGCATATTTATGAAAAAATAATATTAAGTTATTAAGTTATACTAAGATTTAACGCTATGTCCTATGTAAAACCTGTGAATGTGAAAAGAAAAAGCTTTGYTAAAAATCGACATGCATTTTTATTTGAAAATGTATCCAAATCATTAGCAGTTTAAAGTTAACTATAACTCTCCAGGTAACATAGAAATATTGTATTACAAAAATATACCTTCTAAATTTGTTTTTATTGATTTTTGTTTACGAGTTTTCATTTAGATGAGTGGATGTTCAAAATGCAACATACTCAATTGAATACATCATACAAAATACAATTAAAAATTATATCAACTAGGCATTTAACACATTTTTTTGTTCCATATTGATTACCTATTAAATGACTTATATACATTTTTAAACTAAATAAATTTAATTAAAATACATTTTTGTTTAGATATTTATGCATATTTTAAGTGCATATTTGAATAAAAATCATTTATGCATGCATATTTTGTACATTTTTAGTGCATATAATTCCGGGCCCTACAAATCACTAATGCATAATTATATTTCGAATATAGTCCTATAATATAAGAYATACTATAATTTTCCAGACAAATTTTATTACTAGAATAGGAGGTACTGACATCAAGAATTTTATTAAACGTGTGTTTCAAAGAATTTTCAGTAATGAGCTATCATCCAAATGTTCATGGACAGGTTTTCGAAATAATTATAGACTCGAAAATATTTGGTTTATGAGCATCATGAAGGGTAATTTAAATATTGTGTTAAAAATGTAGGTACAGCAAGAATTGTTATTTTTGTTTGTTTATTTGTTCTATAGTCTTAGCTAGGGAAAAATTCAACTCATGATGTGACCTTGATTTTGAGTTGCACGTAAAAGACTTGGGCCCTATTCTCGAAACCGATCGACAAGAAGTCGTGTGCGACTAAACTCGATTGATTATGTCGTATTCGACTGCTAAACGCTATTCTCCAATAGCATTCGACTAAAATTAGTCGCATTCGAGATTATGTCGACTAGTAATAAGCTTGTCGCATGAACCACTGTGGTATAGCTATGGTATAGCCTAAAATGTATTTATTATCAGAAATATTTCCGCCTAAATATGATATATTGATACTAATCACATTATTATTGTAATATTGTAAAATTGTACGATAAACGAATAAACRATCTACTCGTCTAACTCGACCGTCGTCTATTCCTTATTTCCTATTTCGTCTCGTCCTTTCGACTTTCGTTTTCGTCACTCRCCTATGCWCACTCCTCCRTCGTTTATTTTAACAAMAATTTATAATATTAATAAGGTAGTATACATATTTCTTTAATTAAAGGTGTTGATCTCAGTACGATACTTAACCAGTATGTCATGAGCGTTTATGTTGGTTACAAGTTAAGTATCTATATCAGTTGAAGATTAGGTATCTTCATTCTTAATAAATTTCAAAAAACTCCTTCCAGTTGTACTCTACTCGATATTTTTCATCTACAAGGAAAGTCTATGACTTATGTTCTTGTTAATTAGTAGCCATGGGAACGAACTAACTGTTGAAAATATATTAAATTATAATTTAGTTGTTACCCTATAGATCAGTGGTTCTTAACCTTTTTTAGTTCAGCGCCCCCTTTATCGTAATAACTAATTGCTAACGCCCCCCCTCGTGAAAAATCAAATTTTCTTCTTATAAATATATATATAGGTATATATATATTTGTATATTTATTTATTCATCAGTATATTATAACATTATTAATTAAACTATTAAAGTAAAAACTCTTATTTTTAGATAGTTATGGTTATATTTTAYACCACTTAACAAAACAATTTAATACTTTACTATAAAAAAAAGATTTACTGAACTATAAAAAAAAAAAAATTATAAAATATACAAATTATACCTATCAATGACTGCCCTGAGCCTGATGAGTAGCTGCTAATTTAACGATGTCTGGTTTGATATTGGTCAAAGCTAAACGTAGATCACCTTTGTTGCAAATGTCCAACCGATTTCTTTGTTTCGTCAAAAGCTGAACAACAACGCTGAATCCTTTTTCAACTAGATACGTTGACGGGAAAGAGAGAAGCAACAATTTAACTTGTTGCCATAGTTGTGGATAAGTGTCTTTAAGCTTGATCCAGGCAAGCTCGTAACCGAYCTGCTTAAAAACAAGTTGTGCCTCACAGTCGTGTTTAAGATCGATAAATTCCATTTGTAAATGAGGTTCGAGATCTTCCACAGATTCAAAAGAAAATGGATCTAAAATCCAATTACAGATTTGTAACTCAAGTAGGTCTTGAAATCTTGATTTCATGTCTTTTTTGAGCTGCAAAATATGATCAGTGAAAATTAGAATTTTGTCTTCTGGAATTAAACCATTTGCGTCTGAACATGACTTGAGATTCGGAAACTGAATCATTTCTTGACGATTTATGTTTGTTCTGTAMAGATCTAATTTAAAAATGAATGAGGAAATTATTCCTTTGGCTTTAATACAGTTCATCCTATTCCCTTGAAGCTTCAAATTGACTTCATTYATTTTTTCAAAAATATCTGTGAGGTACCCAATCTCAATTTTTCGTTGCTTCAAATTTTCTTTTAAGACAGGATCAATTTTATCGAGAAATTCAATGATAGAGTCAAATAATGCAAAAAAACGATACAAACACTTTCCTTTGGAAAGCCACCTTACTGCAGTATGCAAAAGTAATCTTTCAAAATCTTCATCATTATCATGACAAAGTTCTCGAAACATGCGGTCATTGAGTGAACTTGCTTTAATCTTGTTTTATCTTGTTTAAAGCTTTTATGACGAATTGAAGGGTTTCGTGCAGCACACCGCTTAAGTTTTTAGCAGCTAAATGTTGGCGATGTATAACACAATGAACACAAATAACACCTGGGACAGCTTTTTTTAGATGGGCTATAAACCCAACATGACGACCGGTCATCGAAGGAGCGCCATCCGTTGCGCATGCAATAATATTTGTCAAGGGGACATTTTTTCTGGTAAAATATTCCTCCACCGCTTGAAAAATCGACGACCCTTTGGTATCAGTGATCAAACTTGTAGCAAACAATAATTCCTCGACGATTTCTTTACGTTCATTAATGAACCTCACATAACCTAGTAATATAGCTTTATTATCTGTCACAGTTGATTCGTCAATCTGTAGTGCAAAATTATTTTCTCTTAAATAATTTATAAGTTTGTTTTCGATGTCATCTG